CGTCTCCAGAACTTTCTCATCTTCCCAAACCGGAGCTCTGTCCCCATTGAACACCAGCTCCCTCAGGCCCTGCCCCCACCGTCCTCCGTCCTGTCTCTGTGGACGTGACTCCTCTGGGGACCTCCTGTGAATAGAATCACATCTTGTCTTTCTGTGACCGGCTCATTTCACCTAGTTTAATGCCCTCCAGGGTCATCTGTCGTGTGGCCTGTGTCAGAACTTCCTTCCTTTTCAAGGCAGAGTAATATTCCATTGTGGGGATGGGCCACTTCTTGTTTATCTGGTCGGCCATCAATGGACAGCAGGGTTGCTTCCACCTCTTGGCTCTTGTGAATCAGGCTGCTGTGAACACGTGTGCAAGGACCTCTTTGAGTCCCTGCCTTCAATTCTTCTGAGTTTATACCCAGAAGTGGACTTGCTGGATCATGATGATTCTTTTTTCTTTCCTTTTTTTTTTTTTTTTTTTGCTGAGGAAGATTGTCACGGAGCTAACATCTGTGCCAGTCTTCCTCTATTTTATGTGGGACGCTGACACAGCGTGGCTTGATGGGTGGTGCTAGGTCTGCGTCCTGCATCTGAACCTGCAAACTCTGGGCTGCTGAAGCCAAGAGCGTGAACTTAACCACTACCCCGCCGGGCTGGCCCCTGATGATTCCCTTTTTAATCGTTCGAGGAAGCTCCGTGCTGTTTTCCACAGCAGCTGCACCAGTTTACATTCCTTTTCTTTTTTATTTAGAGAGTTTTATCCTGTTTCCAGCTCTAATGAGCCCAGTTAAAGCCACTTTCCCAGATGCCCTTGCAGCCGCCAGCATCCCTGAGACCCAGTTCTGCTGCACGGAGCAGGCGGGCATTTCTGCACCCGTAGGACGACCTTCCCTGCGCCTGTGCAGCCTCGGGCAGGTTCTCCGACTCCCCTGGGCCTGACTTCCTCCTCGGTCAAGTGGCCATGAGGACGGCTCGCTGCTTAGGACAAGCATCCAGATCAATTGAGTCAAGGGCGTTCGCTGGTGTTATTGTTATTACTGTGCGGGGCTGCCAGCCGGTCCCCCGGGAGACCGGGCACCTCGTCCCGGCTTCAGGCCTCCCGTCTCCTCTCTCAGCCTGAACTGAGTGCTGCACACTCGGCCTTGGTGCATGCTGTTCCCTCTGCCAAGAACGCCTTTCCTTCTACTCCCCTCATCTAAATTTAGTGGGCCTTTTGGGGACTTTGCCTGCCCAGCAGCCATTCTCCTGACTTCTGGTCACAAAGGGGAGGGAGGGACCATCTCTCCCTGATCCTCGGGCCATAGCCAGGTCCCTGCCTGCCAGTCTCAAGGGATTGGCCACGTGACCCTGGCCTGACCAGTTAGAATAGTAAATCACCCTCAGCCATAGAGATGGACTCAAGGATGGGCGTGTGACTCAAGCCAGCCAATGAGAGGACAGGGAAAGAGGAGCTCTCTTTCTGTCAGGGTAGCTGAGTTGAGAAGGATGGAGCAATGGGAATTCATTCCGTTTGGGACCACTAGGGGAGGTCCTGCCAAAAGGGAAAGCCCTGAGACAGGGAGGGACAGAGCCACGACATGGAATCCTGACCTCATGGCTAGACCTGAGTACCTTGATACAGCCATGCCTGAAGGCATCCCTGGGTTTTCCAGTTATATATTGCTTACCCCAGGTTGGGTTGAGTTTCTGCCACACTCAACTGAAGTCCCTGGCAGATGAACTCTTTTCCTCTAAGGCTCAGCACAGGTATCACACTTCCCTAAAGCCCCACCGGCCTCTCCTCCTCTGCTGGCAGCTTGGGTGTTCCTCCTAGGCTCTCCCATTATTCCCCTGTGCATCAATATGGGATCGATATTTTCGGTGCCTTTTCCCATCACTAGACTGGGACCTGGTTGAGGGCAGGGACTGCATTCTTGTTCCTGTCAGCATCCCAGCTCCCAGCAGGAGCTCAATAAATAAGTGAACAAATGAACGAATCGTACATGCAATACGTCCTTGAGAAACCTCATTTGATGGTGGGGGTTTCCAAAGGCTACTCAAGAATCCCTTAAAGAATGAAAATTGTTATTTTTATTCATTTAAAATCTCTTGAAAACAAATGAAACCTTTGGCATTCATGTTCATTTTTGTTCTGGAGAAAGGGGCTCTCATTTTTTGTTTTCTTTTTGTGTGTGTGTGAAGATTGGCCCTGAGCTAACATCCGTGCCCATCTTCCTCTACTTTATGTGGGATGCTGCCACAGCATGGCTTGACGAGCAGTGCCAGGTCCACGCCCGGGATCTGAACCTGCAAACCCCAGGCCACCAAAGTGGAATGTGCGAACTTAACCGCTAGCCACCAAGCCAGATTCTCATTGTTCCTTTTGATTCTGAAGTCACCCAAGCTGGTTTGTGCCATTTGCCAACAAGAATCCTGCTTGATCAAACATCTGTCAGATTAAACCAAACCAAGGGAACCCATATCTGAGGCTGGAAAAGCCACAGGTGCCACATCCGCAAACCCTCAGCCTTAATGATCTATTACAACATTCCTCAGAGGTCCATCTAAACGCCATCGTTTTCTTGGATGACAGCACGGGCTTAAATCTGAAAACCTCAGAAGTAGAAAACTTAGAAATTACTGGGAAGCACCAGACACCCAGCATTGATTCACGAGCGTCACTGGTTGTATGTTATTTCTTCCAGTCTCTCTACTCATATACATGTGACGTGGACGTTTTTATAAAATGGGATTATTTTCTCTGCACAATGTGGGAGTCACCAAACTTGTCCTTCTAGGCCCCCCAAATTGCTCTTTTTGTCCCCAAGTGAAGTTCATCGTGGCCAAGGATATCAGGCGGAAGTGTCACCTCCAGGGGGATGCTCTAAGTGTCACTTTCCTGTCTTGGGGACCGTGGTGACGCACATCAAGACAGGGCCTCCACGTTCCTGGGTCCCTAAGTGACCCGAACTGGTCACGTGTGAAGAAAAAAATCACCTTTTGTTGATTTAAACCACTTGTTCGATGGGGCTGTTTGTTACGGCAGCACACACCCAGCTTGTCCTGACCGATACCATTTTTTTTCAACTTTTATTTTGAAATAATTATTGGCGCAAAAGGAGTTGTAAAGATAACACAGAGGTTCCCTGGGCCTTCCCCCGCTTCTCCCAAGGGTGGGGAACATCGCCATACCCATAGTGCTTTATGAGACCAGGAAACTGACGTTAGCACAACACAGTTAACAAGGCTGCAGACTTTACGCGGATTTTATTGACCAACACTAGTTTGTAGCCCATTTCTGCCGCATCTGAGCTCTTCCTGATGCCCACAATATGATGTCTCTTCAGGATGGAACAGAGCAGGTGTCGCCACTGCCTTATTGTCGAGCTCTTTCATCCCCACCCGAACCACGGAAACGATACCCATTCACGTGTCTTCGATGGGCTGACAACCTCCTGAGAAAAAGGTCTAAACATTTTTATGTCACCTTGTCCAGTTGCTGTTTAGAAAGCCGGATCTGTGTGCAGCTGTGACTGAGGGCCCGCCGTCCCATCGCCTTGCCAACAGTGTTATCACTGAACAAGCCTTCACCGATTTGCTAAGAAAAATACTAATGATGAAGTATTTCCTCAATGTTTTAGTTTGCATTTACTCGGTGGTTATGGGATTAAACCTTTTTTTCATGAACACGCTCGTATTTCTTTTCCGGACCTCGGTGGGGCTTCTAAAGATAACAGCAAAGAGGAAGCACTCCTCCACTGTCAGCTTCTTAGTGCGTTTTTTCAGCCAACGAGCTGGTGTTTCTTTTTCGGTTTCCATCCATTCATCTCTTACCCACATCCGCCTCCTGCTGGTTGCTTAGCAACCAGCCTTCAGGGTGTCATGGAAATAAGCTCCGGAAACACACCTTTCTGGGTGCTCCTAGGGAGGGCTACACGCTTCCGCTCCCAGCTTATCAAGGAAGGCGACGAGTGTGGGAAGGTGACATTGGAGACGAGGCTCAGAGGAAGGAGATTCGCAGAGTGAGGCCTTTGGGGAGGGATGCGCATGTGCAAAGGCCGGGAAGTGAGCAGTGTGCATTTCAGTAAGGCGATGGCGGGAGGGCTGCCAGGCTCACGTGATCAGGGCCCCACGTGCACGTGGGAATCGCGAAGTTCAGAAGCTTCTGGCGCGCGGGAAGGCCAGCCTGGTGGGGAGTGAGGGTGAAGGCGGGGAACCAGGGAGGAGCTGACCACAGTGGTCCAGACCAGCGATGGTGGCCCAGGCGGGAGCCAGGGATGGAGCGGCAGGTGGACAGATGGGAGAGGTACTTAGAAAAGGCTCAGCTGGGAGACTGGCTGGGTGGTGGGGCCTGAGGGAAAGGGACAACAGCGGACTTGGATTGCTGGGGCCACTGGGGCCACCTGGAGGTGGGGACATGGGATCAGAATCAGGTGTGGGAGGAGCGTGATGAGCTGGGCTTTGGCCACCTTGTAAGTATCAATGCCCCAGAAGGCAGGAACGGCCTCATTGCAGTAGAAATCTTTTTTTCTTTTCTGCTTCATCTCCCCAACACCCACCCCCCCCGTACACATTTGTACATCTTAGTTGCATGTCCTTCTAGTTGTGAGAAATATTTGAGACCACGAAACAAACTACAAACCAACTGTTCTGTTGAATTAAACACCAGTGAGGAATCAAGAAATGGTTCTTACAATGGACGGACAAGTGTCAGGGCCTCACCAGCTCCCAACTCCATCCACTTATCCCTCGCCCCCAGCGATAATGGCTGTGTGGGATGTGGTGTGTTTGGGGTGTATCCTGATGGACCTTTCTCTAAGTTTACATGGCAGTGCATGGTCCAGAGCCAACATCCAGGGTCTGGTTTGTGCATCAAAAACGGCATCTTGCTGGGCATTTCACTGTGCAGTGTTTTTCTATGCTTAGCAACGCTCTAAAGTTCTTTCCATTAGTTTAATTGGACCTATGTCACTCGAAAAATTATTTTGGGATGTTCCAGTTACAGTTGCTACGTAGTCAATGACCCCACAGCTCAGTGGCTTGAAACACTCAGTTTATTCTCACTCATGGTTCCTGTGTGTCAGGGCGGGTGGAGCAGTGGGGGGTGGCTGGACGCCCCCTCTCCACCGGTGGGCTCGGTGGTCTCTCAGCACGGGCTTGCTTGGGCTTCCTCACAACATGGCGGCCTCCGGGCAGTGGGGCTGTGAGATGGCGGCTGGTGGCTTCAAGAGTGAGTGTCCCAGCGAGCAAGGTGGAAGGGGTGACCCCCACTGGCAGCCACACTGTCACCTCCAGACTCAGGGTGGGGCCCAAGCCAAGCTCAAGGGACGAGAATTGGACTCCAGGTCTCGACCTGCAGCTTCCAGAAGTGCGTGTGGGAGGGAGGGCAGTCCTGTGGCTGCTCGTCACATGTGACACCCCACGCTCCTCCCGACAGCCCCCAGCGCAGCTCCCTCTCCTGCGTGCGCTGGCCCTGCGGACACAGACCTGTGCCCCACTGTTCGACCCTCACCCCCCAGGGGCCTGTGGCACGTCCTGCACCCGGGGCCTTTCCTCCAGATCCAAGCAGGTGCCAGCCCCTGAGGTCGCCTGTGCCCCCAAACCCAGGCTCACCGCTGTGTCGGCCTGGGCGAACGCCTCGTCCCCTCTGAGCCCCCCTTGTGTCATCTGTGACAAGGGAATGATGTCGCCCGCCCCTCGGGGTTGCTGGGAGACATGGGGGAGGGGGGCAGTGGCCGGCAGGGCAGAGGGAGGAGCTGGCTGCTGTCACCAGGAGCCGCGGAGTTGGGGCTGGTGGAGGCCCGTGGTTTGTGGCCTGTGTCACACAATGGCCCCACTGGTTCCAGGACCTTGAGCTGAGGTTAATGTGGGAGCCGAGCCACGTGGCTTGAGGCCCCAACCTCTGACCTCACTCACCATGGCCACGTGGTCCTGGGTCACCATGACGCGCAGGGCTTGAGAGGCACTGGTTCCAGGCCTGGCCACGCAGCATCAGGCAAATGTGTCCCTTCTCTGTGCCTCGGTTTCCTCATCAGCAAGTGAGCTGTGAGCTCACCCCTCGCTTCCTGTGTGTCAGGCCTCATGAGCCTGCTTCTCGCCTGGCCCCTGGTGCCCAGCCCCTCCTTCCAGAGCAACAGCACAACCGCAGCTGGGTACAGGCACCAGAAGAAGGCTGCGTTTCTGTTCCCCGTGCAGCCACATGTGTCATGTGACTGTTCTGGCCAATGGGCACATGAGAGAGACCAATGTGTCAGTTTCCAGAGAGGGTCTCTAAGGGGTGGGTGGGCCTTTCTTCCCCCCCTTTGTTGATGGCTGGAATGTGGAATGGATAGATGGAGCACCAGCAGCCATTCTGGGCCATGAGGTGATCTTGGACATACAGGTGGCACATACTATAGCACTAAGACAGGAGCCTGAGGCCCCAACTCCAGACTCTGACATGAGACAGATCTGAATTCATGTCTAATAAGTCAGTATTATTTTGGATTTTGCTGCCATTCATCAGAAACTATCTCACACACACGCTTTTGTCATTTTCAAATTCCATGTGTATTTTTCGTTCCCTCCCAAGGAACTCATTTTTAAATTGGCCTCATCCTGAAATCAAGGATTTGGTGAGCTGGCTCTCTGTAAACATTAACATAAATCCAAATCTCTGAAAATAAAGTCGAAGCCATTCAAACAAAAGAATGTGCGTTTCCACAATTACGGGTGAGACTCTTAGCAAATCCGCTCCCTAAAAGCAACAATAAACTAGAGGAGCTGTCGGAAACAACCATTCCGGGATTCTGGAGATTAAGCAAAGGCATCTGACAATTAAGAAGCGTTTATTCACAAAAAACGCCTGGGTGGCAGGCACGAGCGGTGGAGTTGGCGGGATGTTCTGCCTGGGTTTTTGGTGCCTGCTGGCCAGGCCAAGCCCTGCAAACACGTAGGCGACCGGACAGGAGTCCAGGGAACGAGACAGCCACAGCCGGCCCCACACAGGCCGAGGTCCAGAACACCGTGTGCACACTCGGGAGAGCCGGAGAGAGCGCCCTGCATGCAGAAACTTGCGCAACCTGCTCGACGGGAGGCCGTGTGCCAGGCTGAGGGACGGGCATGAGCAAGGCAGGTCGAGGGGCAAACCGCCCAAGGGAGCCCAGGGCCACATGCCGGGGCCTTGGACACACGGATTGGAACACAGGCTCCTAGCCATCAGCGGCTGACCGCGAGGCCAGGCCGACCCAGGGGCGATTCGCAGAGGAAGCCACATCAAAATAAAGATGGGAAACAGAAGATGCTTCAAATAAAGGAATGACCCTCCACAACTAATCAAACCAGAATCAACTCTTTACTATTTAAAAAATAAATCAAGGCAAGAAGGGAAACCGAAACCCAGAGATGGGGCACAGTCACCATCAGCTGCCTGCCGTGGGGCAGACAGACCGACTGTCAGTCTGGCAATTACCAAACCAGCAAACCAACCCAGCAGCAGCACGGGTCCCTGTGGGGATTGGAGGTCAGGGCTGCTACAATCTGTTCCTTAAAATGTCCATTTATTTTTCTTTTTTGAGGAAGATTAGCCCTGTGCTAACTGCTGCCAATCCCCCTCTTCTTGCTGAGAAATACTGGCCCTGAGCTAACATCCGTGCCCATCTTCCTCTACTTTATATGTGGGACGCCCACCACAGCATGGCTGCCAAGTGGTGCCATGTCCACACTCAGGATCTGAACCAGCGAATGCTGGGCCACCGAAGTGGAACATGTGCACTTAACCACTGTGCCACCGGGCCAGCCCCATAAAATGTCCATTTTTTGAACAAAAAAGCTGTAAGACATCAAAGGAAAGTGCGACTTATGCTGAGGAAAAACATAGACAATTGGACCCTCTGAGGGGGTCCAGATGTTGGACCTTAGAGCCACCATCATAAACGTGTTTACAGAACTCAAGGTGACTGTCTCTGAAGAATTAAAGGCAAGCATGACGACAACAACTCAGGAACAGAAGACCCTAATGAAGAGCCAAAAATTACAGAAAACAACCCAAAGGAAGTTCTGGACTTGGAAGCCCTGCCCCCCGGGGCCACCACACTGCCCTGGGCTTCCCACGTCACGGCCCTGACCGCTGTGTGTGGCACCTCCTGTCTCCGTGCCCATCTCCCCACCCCGCCTTGGCTGCGGGCAAGAAGGGGGCCGAGCTGCTCGTGCCCTGTGTGACAGGGTCAGGGGACAAACGGAGAATGGCAACAGCCCTAGGAGGGCCAAGAGCCGGAGCTTGTGGTCTGACGGTCCCTCCCTTTGCCTGGGCCTCAGTGCCCTCCGTGTGACAGGAGGACTGGCCCCCACGGGGCTCTGGGGCCCTGAACCGCCACGGCACAGGAAGCCAGGAATGAATCCACCAGAAGGCGAGGCTGTGAGTTTTGCTGTCGGTTTAATTTATTACTGTTTGACATCCAGTGACATTGACATAGCCCGCCGGGCCTGTGGTGCCCGGGCCCCGGCGAGTGTGACCTGTCCAAAAAAATACAGTACGAGGAGTGGACGGCTACAGACATGCATCCACGGCTTCAACTACAGTGACCCCAAACTGCGGCCGCATCAGCACTGCCAGGGAAGGACAAGGAAAACAGGCGTCGCATGGGCCCCGCACGGTTCTGTCTCTCGTTCAAACACTTAATGCGTGACACGCGCTAGCGAGGCCGGGACAGGGCCGGACACAAACAGTCCCAGTCTTCTCTGCCGTATAAATATGGAAGATTCACGTTTATACACTTTACCCCGGGCGGAAACTACCTCTGCTGCTACCCGTTACTGCTACTGGCTATGCTGCCTCGGCCCCGGAGCGACGGGCTCGCGGTCGAGACTGGAATGTCGGCGCTCAGTCTTCCTCGCTGCCACTTCCTGAGCGGTCCTGGAGGGGCGACAGGAGGGGAGCGGTGAGCCGGCTCTCCATGGGTCTATTAACTGAAACCCTGACGTGGGCAGAACCGCCTGCCCGGGTGTAAGTGAGCGCACAGGCTGGAGCCGGGGGGCCTTGCCCTCAGCCCCTGCAGCCAGGGCCAAACCTCAGTGTCACTCAGCTCCTGAGGACGGGTCCCTGGGCCTCCCTGCTCCCTGCTGTGTGTCTGTCCCTGTGCCCCTGACCTGCGGCTGCAAAACCTCCTTGGTCACTCCTGACCACGGAAGATCCTTGCTCCTCCAGATGAACATTCTATTGTTTTTATTTTTATCATCTTTTTTGGGCGAGGAAGAGTGGCCCTGAGCTAAGATCTGTGCCCATCTTCCTCTATAATGTGTATGTGGGACGCCGCCACAGCGTGGCCTGATGCGCCACATGTAAGGTCCACATCCGGGATCCAAACCTAAAAACCCCGGGCCACTGAAGAGGCACACACTTCACGGCTATGCCACCAGGCTGGCCCAGGGGGTCGTGGGATTTGTTGACGCCACCTTGATAAACACCCAGCCCGCCAGGCCTCAGCACGGCAGCCCTGGTGTCTTGGGCTGCTGCAGGGGGAGCAGGGTGGGAGGCCCGTCCTGTCCCCAGACGCCCGCCAGTGCTAGGGGCACTGGCTCAAGGGACACGCGGACTTGGTTTTAAGCCACAAGCCATGTGATGCTGAGCCTCAGTTTCCCCATCTGGGGAGCAGGGCAGTCAGAACGTCTCTCCTCCAATGAGCAGACCTCCCCCGGCCCCCTGCTGCCCCTGCCCGGGACTCAGGGCCTCACCTCCTCCTGCTCCTCCTCACTGTCGTCGTCGCTCACCACCGGCTTGGCCCGGGACCCTCGGCTCGGCCGCCGCCGGGCCCCCTTCAGCCGGTCCTGCGCCTTCTCCTTCCGGCCGAGCTTGATCTTCACCTTGACCGAGCGGGCTGCAGGGGGAGAGAGAAAGAAGGCGGGCGTGAGCTAGGGAGAGCGCGGGGGACGATGGGGCTGTGCGGCCACGGGTCCCCTCCAGCGGGCGTGCACGCCGGCCTCCTGGGCCGCCCCAGCCCGAGCCCCTGGCCCGGCCCCGGGACTCACACTCGGACTCGGAGCCTTCCTCCTCGCCCTCCTCCTCCTCCTCGCTCTCCTCGCCTTCGCTGTCGTCCTCCTTCTCGATTTTCTGCCGCACGCTAGTGAACACGGACTGCAGGACGATGGAGTCTTCATAGATCTGGGCGAGACACGGGGCTCGAGTGGGCCGCGGCTCCAGGGGGACTGCCCGCCCTGCCCAGCCCAGCCTGGAGAGCCCGTGTGGGGCGGGGGTCCCAGACCAAAGGTCAGGTGTGTGCATTAGGAACAGCCGTAGGTTCCTCCCTCCCTTTGAAGAATCACAGGGAGCATCCAGTTTTAAAGGCTCTGACAAGGTCTGCAGTAACATCATAAACACATGTCCCTTGTTTCAGCCAGCAGCCCCCCAAACTATGGCCGTATAATCTCCTTCCCAGGAGGCACCTGTCCCAGACACACTCGGGAAAACTTCGCTAAGTTGAGGTTGCGGGTGTGTATGTGTTAACTCCATCAGAAGGCACATGGCCATGCAACTCCTTTCCAGGGCATCCCGAGGGAATTCACAGTAAAATTCCCACAGATATGCCGATGCTCACAGGGTCCTCCTGGGGCAGAGGACGTGAATGGGGCCGAGCCTCCTGCCTCTCATTTGCTTGTTGTGTTTCTGGTTTCTGTCAGTGAGGACACACACTTTTGTAACTGCTAAGATACTCCCAGTTGTTGGGATTTGTTAGAAATCAGTCAATTCAAAAGGGAGCCAGGGTTTGGGTTGGTTTGGGGCGCAGCCGTGAGGGTGGCGAAGGCTGGCAGTGGGGCCCTGGCCCAGGCGCCTCCTTACCAGGGAGCCCTCCAGGTTGAAGGTCTGTGCGTTCTGGCAGAGCAGCATGACGTCCTTCTCCAGGTCGTTGAGGCTGCGGTACTTGTGGTTGCGGATGCGTTCCTGTGGGCGCGGGAGGAGTGGCCTCAGCTCGGGACCCGCCTCGGGCCTGGGGACCCTGGGACAGGAGGCCCTCCGCCTCACGAGGTCACAGCCGGGGCTCGGGGACCTCCGTGCAGACTCGGAGGCCCAGGAGCCCTGAACACAAGAGGCGCAGGACGAGGCCTGGGCTGTGCGTGACCTCGAAGGAGCCCCAGATGCCGGCCACCCACTGACACATCCCTGGGACCCTCGAGGCCACGAGGAACCCCAAGATCCCACAACCGGGGCCCGGCCAAGGGCCCCCCCCCACGCCGGCATGGCCCTGCGGTACCTTTATCTTCTTGAAGTCCACGGGCTTGCGGATGAGCTCGTAGTACTCGGGCAGCTCCTTGCGGGATGGCAGCTGGATGAAGACCTCGCTGAGCTGGCGTCCACTGCTACTGCAGGGGGACACTGCGTGTCACTCGCGGAGCCCCCGCCTGGGCCGCCCGCCCCCGTTGTTTGAGGGCAGAGAGGGCAAGAAATTCAAAGCAGACCCAGGAGTTATTTCCTGAACACGTACTGTCCCATGCATTCTGGAACCTTCCTGAGAGGCAGCCGTGCGCACAGAGGCCCAGGATGCATCTGAGCCAGGCTCTGCGCTCCCCTGCCCGCCACCCAGGCCCTGGAGGAAGGTCGCATGCTGAACGCAGCCAGCCAGGGCCTCAAAAGAGGTGGCACCACAGCCATCTGTTCAGGACTTCAAAAGCGGGCCATGTCGGGAGCGGTCGGCACTGGGGCTCAGACACCAGTTTGCACAAGCACGTGGCGTCTCTTGCGGGCGACACTCAGGAGCAGCGAACTTCCGAGAATTGGGCAAAAACTGCGGGAGAAAGATGTCTCCCAGCAGGACGCTGATGAAGGACCAACGCTGCTTTCTAGGCCTTTCCACAGGGAAAGCACCTGTTCTGCACAGGAGCAGAAATGAGACACAACTGCCCTCCCTGTTGTGGGCACCTGTGCGCTCGGCCACCAGGTCGCACCACCTGAGCCAGGCTGTGCCAGGGTCAGGAGCTCAGAGGCCTCGTCCCTCCTGGGCCTGCCCGAGGGAGGGAGCAGGGCTTTACGAGCCAAAAGCAGCAGCCTCAGTTTCTCTTTCTGCTCCGTCAGCCTGACGGAGCCTGGTGACCTCGGTGGCTGCCTTGCTCTGCGGGTCCCCATTCACCCAGCCCCGCATGCTCTGGCCATGGTGGCCACGGCTTGACCTATGGATGGCTGGCGCAGCCCAGCGCCCATCCCGGCTCTGTATCCGGGATGCACCACTCCCGCCTTGTTTACGGTCCCCGAGGGCGGCAGTGACAACACGCTGCCAGCCGGGCTTGTGCTGGACGCCCCGATTTCACAGAGCTCCGCTGGGACCGCCTCCTGGAGGCAGCAGCGCGGGCGGTGTCCGCTTGCTGGCGTTTCTGCGCATCCTGAGGCGGGGCTGGACCCGGTCCCGGCTCCCGACCTGCCTCGGCCAACCTGACGCAGCCTCTCAAACTCTGTTACTCCAATTGTTGCGATGAGGAAACTGAGGCTCCCCTCAGGGCTCTGGCGCCCCGTCCTTCCAGGCTGCCTCTTCCGCCACATCTTGCCCCCTGGGGGACCCGAGCGGTCACAGACAAGGGAGGGCCTGCCCCCTTGAGGCCACCACTCCCGCCCCCTCCCCTCCCCAGGGCACAGGCTTCCTTTC